GGAGGTACACAACAGATACACACTGACCCCGTGTTGCCGTGGTTGTGTGTCTGTTCCAGGACCTGGGCGACGTGGAGCTCCCCCGGCCGCGGCCCGACCTGGAGGCAGGGAAGCAGCTGCCGCGGATCTTCGCCGACATCCCGTCCCCCCTGGTGGGCGTTCCCCTGGAGGACATCGACCCGTACTACTTCAGAGACCAGCGGGTCGGTTCTGCTTCTACACTATATTATATTATGAAGGCAGCAAAGCTGGTTCGTTAAGTCCAGGATACCAGAGCTACTGGATCAGCTTCAGTCCAGAACCTGACTCCAGAACCTGATGTAACCGGTCCCGTCCCGCTCCAGCTGTGTAACCTGTTGTTCTCCTTTCAGACCTTCATAGTCCTGAACAAAGGGAAGGCCATCTTCCGCTTCAGCGCCACGTCGGCTCTGTACGTGTTCAGCCCGTTCCACCCGATCCGAAGAATCGCCATCAAGATCCTCGTCCACTCATATCCTTTGGCCCGGTCACGTGACCCGACGGAGGTCAGAGGTCAAATGCCACGACTCAGAAAGAAGCTAGGAGGGCCCCGAAAGACACGAAAAGACACGAAAACGAGTCGTAGAGACGCTAGAAAGGCAAGAAAACAGACAAAAAGGCTCAAAAGGATGCGAGAATAACACAAAACAACACAAACACAGCACGAGAACACACAAAACTACACAAAGAGATGCAAGAATGACACAAAAAGTACTTTTATTTTCTCCAATTTTTTACAGCAAAATATTTTAAATTGAGAACTAAAAGATGTTTTTATTTACTTTAATTCATTTTTCCTGCTGGGACAGAACCTCACACGTGAGCCGTTCAAGGACCATCGGAAAGTTGAGCTTTTGCAGATTTTTTCTGTTTGGGCGGTTTGTGGCGCCGACGAACGTTTTCAGTTCTTGCGGACCCGATGGAGCGGCTCCAGATGTGAGTCGCCGGTCCCTGAACGCCTCCCGACACATTCTGTTGGCACCAGCGCTCGCCTCACACTCGGTTATTTTTACCGGCTGCCGTGTTGAGGGACGTCGAGCGGCGACACGATAAGTGGCCGAGCGGGTCGCGCACGAGGTGTCGCTTTGTGAGTCTGTGTGTGTGTGCGTGTGTGTGTGTGTGTGTGTGTGTGTGTGTCGGGGGTGGGCGTTGTGGTGCCGAAGTGTTTGTGTGTGACGAAGCGAGTCCTGGAGTTCTGCCCGGCGCCACTATGACAGGCTGTGGTGTGAGGTGGACACGCACACACACACAATCACACAAAGAGCTGCAAAAGTTACACAAAAAAGGCACAAAAAGTCAGAGTGAGACGACAACTGGCAAGAATTACACAAAGAGATGCAAAAAAGTCACCAAAAGACACACAGCTGACACAAAATATGTAAAAATCACAGAAAAAAAAGCACAAAAATGTCCACAGTTGACAGAAAAAGACACACAAATGAAACAAAATACATAAAAATGACACAAAAAGATCAAAAATTTACATAAAAAGACACGAGTTACGAAACTTGTTTAATAATAAAAGGCCTGAAGGTTAAAAAGAAATTGTAAAAGTGACATAAAACAACACAACAATGACACAAAGATACAGAAAAGGATGCGAAAAATAAGATAAAAAACACAAAAATGGCACAAAAAGAGACAAAAAACCCCAAAACACCAAGAAATAAAAAAAATGACATGAATACAGATAAAATTACCAAAAAAAGTAAAAATGACAGACAAAAGACACAAAATGTCACAAATATCAACACAAAGCAATAAAAAGGAAACAAAAAAATGACACGAAAGGACAGAATTAAGAAATCACAAAATGATACAAAAAAGATGCGAAAAACTGCAACAAAAGACACACAAATGACATGAAATATGTAAAAAATACACAAAAAAGACACTAAAATATATTAAATGTACACAAAAATGATGCAAAATGAGAAAAACGACACAAAAAACACAAAATGATACAAAGTATGTAAAAATTACACAAAAAGAAACAAAAATATCAAAAATTTACACAAAATGATGCAAAGATGGCACCAAAAGACAACAAAGATGCAAAATGACACACAAAGAAAATACAAAATGATACAAAATTACACAAAAAGATACAAAATGATACAAAAATGACACAAAAAACACAAAATGATACAAAAAGATGTGAAAAACTGCAACAAAAGTCACACAAATGACATGAAATATGTAAAAATTACACAAAAAAGACATAAAAATATCCGAAACTTACACAAAAAGATGCAAAGATGGCACCAAAAAGATTTTTTAAAAAATAACACAAAAAAGATCTAAAATGAGAAAAATGGTGCAACAACAACACAAAACGATCACACAGAGAGGTAACAAAGCCACAAAAATGACTTGAGAAGACACAAAACCCCAAAAAAGATGCGACAAATGCGACACATTTGTACAAAATCTGTCGCGGCTCGAGCTGCATCCCCGATAAAGCCCGACTTACGTAAACACATGATCACTGATGTCGGGTTTATGAGATCGGATCCATTTAGTTGTTTTCTGCGTGTAGCTAGCGTATCGGTACACTGACCCATATGGCTGTCAGACCTGCAGATGGGTCACAAACAGACGACCAGCTCGTCCCTCTGAACGTGGATGAGCTCTGAGCTGAGTTTCGGGGTTCCTGTTTTCGCTCGCGTCTCTTTTTTCGTCGCTGTGGCTCATTTTCACAGCACGAAGCGAAAACGCAGCGTTCGATCGCACACGCTCTCGGGATCCGTTGACAGACCTCCCTTCGGCTCGGCGAGCGTCGCGGGAGGCCGCCGTGGACGTGGGAGGCGTAACCACATCAGCTACGGTGGCCTGGGAGGTCCACAGCAGCAGCCCGTCATTACGCCACAATTAGCCGCTGGCTGTTGTTTGTCGACCGGCAGCAGCTCCATCAACAATTAGCGACAACTTTGGGCGTCGCTCAGCAGCCAGAATGTTCCTTCTGCCAAATTACAATAATTATGATTCATACGTGGGTGTGATTGACAGCGCAGCGGCAGGTGGAGGTGATATTTAACGTTCCGCCGCCTTCTGACACTTTGGAAAGTTGCTGCTCCCCATTATGTGATGATTAGACCGAGTGGAGGCTTTTTCTCCCGCCGGAGCCGCTAATGGAATATTAATCTGCTGCGCCGAACGTGGCAGGAACACACATGCTAACGCTCACTTCATCTTTATTTAGCTCTAATGGGAAATCAGTTTTTAAAAAGAGGAGAAAGAAAAAAACACTGCGGCACATGTTAAGGCACCGACGTTTCTGCATTTACATCTCAGAGAAGCGTCTCACGTCTGAGCTCTTATCTGCAGCCGCTGCAAATCACAGCAAAGCAAAGCGATCCGAACTCGATGGCTCAGCTGGAGCGACACCACGCAAAGATGATCCGACAAGATCCAAACCTGATGCCGACAAGAATGAAACAGACCGAACTGACACAAAAAGACACAAAAACCACAAAATAAAACAGGCAAAAAGTCAAACAGAGCGACACGAGACACAAAAAAGACAAAATAGACACAACAGGATGCTGAAGTGCAACAACCCGTCTGAACAGGTTCTGTGGTTCTGCTGCTTTAGTATCGGGTTCTCTGGTGTCCAGCATGTTTTATGTGGTCTATCAGGAGCGCCAGGTGTTTCCCTCCAGCAGGTAAACGGCACTTGAACACACCTGAACACACCTGAACACACACTTGAACATACCTGAACACACACCTGAACACACACCTGA